ATTGGTTATTGATAAATTTAAACAACGCACAAGTAGGGCCAAGAGCCCACAAGGTAGCCTAATACAGAATAGCATACTTTTATTATAGTACCACTAAGGCACCACCGGGCTTCTTATATTCCAGCGAACAAGCAACTTACAGGTACTTATTTCTCAAACGTTGAGTTACTGGCAGTAATTATGTGACGCAGGTACTAATTTCGGAATCACCAGTATCTTCGACTTAAGCAACTGGGGGTACCTGAGAGCAATTTTAAATATACTTGGCTGGAAGTATTATGGAACCGGACTTAAATTTTGAGCCCACGACCAATTTAATATTTTGGAATCTGTTCTTGTTCTTGCTTTAACACAGACGAATCTGCTGAAAATGAGAACATTATTTTAATGCTTCGAATTTATCGCGGACACTACATAACTGGTGTGTCTTGCTGCCGACGATGACTTTCAGGAAATTGGGTGTCTGCTCTGAAATTGTTGAACTTCTGCGTGATAAGGGCATTCTCGTACCTTCAGAAGTTCAACGTGGATGTATTCCTCCCATACTTGAAGGTTTCTGTCTCTTTCATTGTTTAACCTTGTATAGGCAACGATATTATTGCGTGTGCACAGACAGGCTCCGGGAAGACCGCCGCCTTCGTCATACCAATCTTGCAAGCGCTAATGAGCGAACCAAGACCATTTTACGCATTGATTCTTACCCCTACCAGGTGAAAATTTTTTGTTGAACAACAGTTAGTTCCTGCACAGTATCAGTAGTGTTTACCTAATTAAACACTAACTAATTGGTTGTAATATATTATAGGGCCTTTATGTTTGCATTTTATACAGTCTTATTCTTTTCTTTTCGCCTCCTAAAGGGAGAACTGTTCCTAATACATGCCTTTCTTCTTTAACGAAAACCATTCCTGATAGCAAAAACTAGCGACTACGGGGCAACTGCAGTAGAACTCAACAGCTGCGGGCAGTTTAATCGGCTGAGACCGCAGCTCACCTAAAGTTTCCACCGGTCCGCGACCGGAATAAATTTAGTTGATTTATGCGGGCAAAATGTTATCATGGGCAGTGTTAAGGGACTCTGGGATGTT